TAGGTCATGTTTTGCGGGTGGAATTGGTTTGTTGGTTAGTCACACATACACTTCATGACGGGATGTTTTTTCTGAAAACTGACATTGACATTTTTGGTGCTTAACTCGATCCACTGTGTAATGCCATCAGTGGGGATGGTTAGACAATTCGTGCCCCTGCGGGTGATAAAAGCCTAAATAAACTTGTATGAAAACACTGGCTAAAAGCAGAACCAGGTTACAAAAAATCCTTTTCCAATACATCTGCAAGGGTCTTCACCCACCATTATACCTTTTCTGTGTAAACACTCAAGTCATTAAAAAAAAACTCTGCATTAAAACACACTGCCCTCCACTAAAACAAATTCTTGTTCATAAGATTCTTGCTCACACACTGGAATTCACAAAACATGTAGGACAACGATGCACATAGTTCTTGCCCCCAGTGGAAACTTGTCGGTCTCCTGCATTCACATACCCCTGCCCAGCCTAAATATGCATGTAAGCAAAATGGACTCTGTCTCTTTCCTTTCTTGCTTTTATAACAACAACACAACTTACATCAAGTAAATGCTAGTTGAGCTCAACCAAAAAAAGGATACAATCGTATAGTGATAAATTTATATGAGATCTCCTGCATCAACCACAAGGAGTACCCTGTTTTTGATCTGAAAAAAGTATTCAGTTATGTTCAGTTCACTGGTTCAATCACACTGCTGTGCTGAAACAGCTCATCGACTGTTCTGTCGACCTCAATCGACTCTACCCCAGAAGAGCTCTCTTGTTCCACCTTACGACTCTTTGCATGTCGGTTGGACAGGGAAGTGAAAACTGCATTTTGGATGTTAACCAGTGCATTCGCCATTGTCGCGAGTTGATTTTGAAGAGTGGAAAATTCTTCTTGAGTGACGGTGTTGGATTCCCTGCCTCTCTTGCCACGAGACTTGGTCGTAGTAGGAGGTTTAGGAGCTGCGGTTGCCGCATTTGTGGAGCCCGATGGTGCTGGTTCCAGGTCTGTCTGAGGCACAGGAGGAGGTGGATCATTGTCTGGCTGCTCCGGTGCGAGAAGCTCCAAAGTGTCGATGTTTCTGTTGTCCATGGTGTTCACAGACGTGAAGAAATGAAACAACCAGTCACAAAAAATGCACTGCGGATTACCCACCTCAGGTGCAGTTATGTAGTGGGGAAGACATTTATTTAACAATGAATCCTTTCAACTGTGAAGAAACATACTGGTGACGGGTGCAACCTCATGTAAGACCAAGGTGCTAGGGATAGTGAGGTAGAATTCCCGACTCTCCATATATTCTTTCGCTCTTCCAGGCCATGCCCCACATTGCTTTCCTGACATGAGTTCTTCGTTAGTGGGCATGTCCAAAGTGTGTATACTGTGTTACGAGGTCAGACAAAAGTGTGCCTACTGTCCGCGAATAAATTTGCTTGTGGGTTCTCCATGGTTGCTTTTCCGATTGTGCCCCGTGTGATCGAAACTAAAGGTGGAATTGGCAAGCACTTGTCAACTTCACCTTGTAGCCACTCATACTTTCTGTTCTAGCGAGTAAATGGAAATGTTTTAAGGCTCAGGTAGGATGAAATAGGATATTTGGATACGTAGGTCATGGAGCGATCTTCCGTTTTCGGATGCTCCTTACCTGCAGCCTTTCTATGTTTGCAATGTACTCCGACTTTCAGGATACAAATGGCACTTCAAACGTAGTATAATGTAACAGGGCTTATTACCTGTATTCATTTCTTATAATGAATACTCCAGCTTCGTTTCACATGTCGGCCGACCTTCCCACCTTCCAGTGGTGGACCATCCTTTCGTACCTCTAGGTCCGGATGTAACTGTAACAATGGACGTGTCGCTATTCGGATTGGGAGCCCCTCTCCCTCCACTCCATGCCTCCGGGGTCTGGGACACGTCAATGTGTTGGAACTTCAAGCGGTATTCAATGCTCTTTGGCACTTTCGACAACACCTAGTAAGTCATTCCATTCAAGTCTAGAGCAACAACTCCACGGCAGTTGCATATATCAATTATCAAGGCAGCACTTGCTCTCCCAAATTCTATACCGTTGCGTGGCCAAATGATCAAGGCATCGCCTTCAAGCCGTCCACATTGCAGGAACCAGCAACGACATTGCAGACGCACTCTCTCGGGGTGCTGTCAGACTGATGGAGTAGACTCTTCATCCAAACGTGGTCAGCCAGATCTTCGCGGGAATCGAGCGTCCTCATATCGCATCCACCGACAATGCCCATCTCCCAACGTTCTGCTCTGGGTTCTCTCACCCGCGGGCATGGGTGACAGACGCCCTACAGATTGACTGGTCGGGCCTTCTGGTGTACGCCTTTCCTCCAATCTCCCTCATCCCGTGGGTCCCTTCCAAGACAGGACAGGAGCCATGTCGGATCCTTCTTGTTGCCATGTTCTGGCCTTGCCAACTGTGGTTTCCAAGACTGACAAGACTCCTGGTATGACAGCAGTTGGCCCTTCCAGTCAGGGAGGACATCGTCCATCAGCCCAAGTCGGGGATCCTCTGCCCAGCGGCAATGGAGGGTCTTCACTTGATGTGCTGAACATTGTCCAACGATCCTTCAGAGTGTCAGGCCTTTCTGCAGCCGCTGCATCCATGGCAGCCCAGGGTCAACGACTGTCCACTCGCAAGATTTACAACAGCCGTCTACAACATTTTACTAGATGATGCGATGACCACAATGTTTCCCCGACTGAAGCTCCTGTGAGCTCCGTCGCGGAGTTCCTCATGTACCTGTTCCACTCAGGCCTCCAGGTTGCCACCATCCGTAACTATCAGCCAGCCTTGGTTGCTGTCCAATTGGGCTTCAGCAATGGGTCGACTGTCTCCGACAAGGCTGCAATACACCATCTTCGAGGAATGTTTGTCGAGCGGCCCCACATCAAATGTCTCGTCTTATCATGGGATCTCGGAAACAATCTGCATGTTCTTGCTGTTCCCCCTTTGAAACGTTGGCTGACAAGTCTAACCTCCATCTCAGCATCAAACTGGCATTCCTCCTGGTGGTCGTTACATCGAGACGGGTTGGCGAGCTACATACCCTATAAATTGCCGATGGCCCCCCCGGGAGCGTCACAGGGTTCGTCTCATCCCATCCATCGGGTTCCTGACTAAAAACCAGATGCCTACCTTCCGACCTCCTGACCTATTGATTCCCGATATAACCTTACTTGTGGGAGAGGACACTAATGAGAAATGGTGCCCAGCTCGGACTCTCGAGTGGTATCTTGTGAGGACCAAACGTCGGCGGGAATCTGATTCTCAACTTTTCGTCACAACAAAACCCTCTCACCCAGCATCTAAGGACACTATTGCCCGAAGGACAGTCTTGACTATTATCTTCGCTAGATCAAGACTGGCCAGCTCAGCATAATGAGATGACTCGGGCTTACATTAGGGCCCATGATGTTCGGGCCGCTTCTACATCCTGGTCACACTTCAGAGGGAAGTCTCCTTCCATCTTCAGTGAATGCTACCTGAAGGATGTCCTGCGGAGTGAAACTGGCTCATGGCAGAGCGACCCTGCCCTTGGCAGTCCAGACGACATCCAGTGCTGCTCTGGGCTGGGCAACTGATAGCTAGCCTTAGTAAGGTCGCCGGATGAGTGTCCACTCTCACAACGATTCTCCTAGTCAATATACCCCCTTCACCGACCCATCTCCAGGGTACAGTGCCACTCTGCTTATGTAGGCTGGGCAAGGGTATGTGAACGCAGGAGACTCCTTCCTCATGTGGAGTTGGTCAGGTCTCCTAGTGATACTTACCCCTGCCCAGCCGCTCCCGCCCGTTCTTCCCCACTTTGGTTCCGGTGACCTAACCACTTCGAAAAAGACGAACAGGCAGTGGGACCGCAGTGCATCGTGGAGGGTCAAGGGGCAGAATGCAATATCAAGTCTTTTCAGCGAATTGTAATAGGCACTTGGGAAATTTGCATATGTAGGCTGGGCAGGGGTATCACTAGGAGACCCCACCCACTCCATGTGGGGAAGAATTTTACTACTAACCCAGTGGAAATGTGAGTGGAACTTGTTCAGGTAGTTGCCGCTTTGGTTTTGTTTTAATTCATGTTGGAATTAGCACAGTGTGTCAACAACTACGTGTTTGCTTATGAGCTTAATGTCTCTCTTTCTGTTTTTTTTCTAAATACATGTGACTTTTTAATGTCTGTGGTTCTGCCAATTCACTGTCAGGATTTTAGGGGCAAACATATCACCAGTATGCTAATTGGTTTCACAGGCAACTGTCCGCGTGTTTCTATTCACCAAAAATTTTCCTCCCTCCCCAAATTTGAGAAGAAAAATATACTCCTTGTAAAATGTTAAGATTGCCACAAGCAGCGTGCATGAATTCTGGTGACAAACAAATTTTGTGCAAATTTCCAATTGACAGGTGCTCACAAAAATGTTATCAGTGCCCCTAGCCATTTGAGGAGTCTGGAAGTGTAGTTTTGCTCCGTATTCCTTTGTTTTCAAAGCAATAGGAACTTTGGGCATGTCGCATGAGCACCTTTCTGCACCTAATTTGCATAAAGCTTTTGTTTGTCGCATGAATTCATTCACGCTGTTAACAGCAGTTTTGGCACTTATACAATATTTTTTCTTGCAAGTGCTCCATTATAGGGCTGTATAAAGTTTATATTCAGAATATGCACACTGGATTACCCAAGAAACTGTACTTTTTATGTAGGCACCATGAATTGGAAATGCTCACATTTTCTCAGCAGTTTTCAGAGGCACATAGTGCAGTCTATAACCAGGTCTCGACCTTTTTATTTCTTAACTAGCCCACTGGGCACATTTACCCCCTTTTTATACTTGCCTGCAGGAATTTTCACAAGCCCACTGGATATTTTTAGCCAAATTTTGACTTTTTTTCAACTGCATTATTTAAACCAAAACTGTGTAGTCTTGCTGTCAGTTTTTAAAACTTGAAAGCAGAGGATTCAGAAGTTACAATAAAAGAACAACACATACATGTGCAATCAGTTTTAGGTTTGTTTTATTCCTCTTTACAAATGTGACAACGATTTCAAATGGGCAGGTAATTGTTTACTAGCCCACCATGTAAGTTAAAGAATGTGTTTTACTAGCCTGCAGCAGTTTTTTGTAGAATTTGTATGCTGGTCTAGTGGGTCAAGACCTGCCATAATATTCATCAAATAATAGTTCTATGCAATATGCCATGATTAAATAGCAAGTACATGTAAGATAATCTACTATACACAGTGATTTTGAGTGCAGTGCTAAGAAAAATTTTACAAAGTGAGTGACTGGACCTGTCATCTGTAAGTGAATAAAATCGTTCAACAGCGCAAATGTAAAAGTTTTTTTATAAATTGCTGAATAAATCCTGAAATATCCCTTCATCTCCTGAATAAATCCCAAGTCCCTGCCCTCCATCAAATAAATAGCTGCATCACATGAGTTAACAAATTTTGGTATCCATGGATTACAACTTCTCTTTACTATGGAATTAGAAACAATAGGTTTTTGTGATGTGGCCATGCTCGGCATTGGAATGAATAATTCAGTACATGTGACAGACCCACAAATCATTTAGATATCGTGTTTAACTTTGTCACAATCAGATTACCTACATACATGTATGTCTATATCATGGACAAAAACAATGAGTGCATAAGGTTACTGTATGGACTAAAACTACAAGCATCCTATTTATTGTGACAATGTGATCTTTAACCAAAATACTGTGCTTTTAGTAAATACCACAAGCCCTACTTTTACAATACAAAGCTCGATAATTATGCGTACATGTGTAATTTTTATACTACATCTTAAGAACACAAATTTGGAAAGTCACTCAAATTTTCAATTTAAACCTCACAATATTTTTACATGTAGCTCACATGACCAAGCACTATGTTCACATGTTAGGCATGCGCACTGTATCAGTCACTTATCTTCATACATAGTTTTAAAAATGCATGTGTGCATGAAACCTATCACTGCACTGTTCAGAAGACATGTTCAACATGTGCTGGGGTAGCTTAGCACACACATCTGTGTTTTGCCAACATCTTCCAACAATTTTCTGTTTGTCTAAACTAATATCTTGTACCTCTAAATGCACACACTAAATTTGAATCTGTTGCAGGAGTAAGTAAGTGCTGAGATCTGGCTGTTTAAAAAATTGAACAGCAAATGAAATTGTCTACACAAATATCAAATGTTACACTGCATCACTGTTTAGAACAGTTGTAAAAATAAGACGAACATTGTGTTTGTCTACCAACAAACACTGAGCTGTGTTGGGGAATTCTTTTGGTTGGAAAAATTTGAAATTGGAAAGGGTGGGAATCAAACAGCAGTCATAAAGTCCGTAATTTAAAAGTTTTCACAGCTACATGTTTGGCGGTACATCAAGATCAGCGACGATGCTGATATACAAAGCCCCGAAACAGTGTGGCTTCATTATATGCATTACATGTACAAAGTATATTGATCTCACAGCTTACTGCTCTTACCCCCATTGGTCGAGTTGCTGTCATTAGCAGCTAACGGTTTTTTCATTATCAGTGCATGGCCGATATGAACAGTGTGACAAGCAAAATACCTTAGACCATTAATGGATGTGGATATTTACTCTATTTTTGATGGGCAACTTCAGACTGTTTGGATTGATTTTTTTGCGATTTTCAATGATGATGGTGATTCAGGTGATAATATCATCAACCCAATTTTTGGCACAAATGTTGCAGGCATAAAGGTCAATGTATCTACCAATTTTCAAGGGATTCTAGCCAACTTTGCCACAGACATCTATTCAAATACATTTTTTGAAATTTTTTACCAGATGGGACTAAAATTTTGCATGATGTCATCGAAACATGTTTTGAAGAATAACATTGTCGGAGACTAACACAGTTAAAAGTAAGTTTATATCTGTGACCAATTTTAAATGAAGCACTTCCGGTTTGGACCAGAAGAAGAAATGCAGATGGAAAATTACTTTGATAACTTAGTGCAAAAAGTGAGCTGCGGGAAGTCAAGGTTGATTTTTATGTGATTTTAACATGAATGAAATTTAAGTGCATGTATTTTAACACCTGATGACATCATGCCTTTTTTTGCTAGTACATTTTGGGTGGCTTAGGCTTTGCTTTGTGTCATAAAAGGCTTCGAAAATCTGTGTACAAAGTCAATGGGGAAAAAATTAATATTCAAAATTCTATCATGTGATAGAAATTCTATCATGTGACGACGTCCTGAGATGTCATGATTCGGCACACATCTCCAGATGATAGTCTAACTGTACCTGGTTTGAAGTGAATTTTAATGTCTATGGGGAAAAAGTGGAAAAAGAAAAAAAAAAATTTAACAAAAGCTGCTTCGGTTGGTGCAGCTAATAAAAAATCTCTGATGCGCACTAATCCAAGGCCCCTCACCTCAAAATCCTCCTTACAAGAAGTTTTGGGTTGACGTTTTGAAATTGCATAAATCAATTTGTTCCCATCCAACAAGATATTTGTAGTCCCGTGATGAAATTAGGGCATACTAATTATTGTTTACAAAAAATAAATAAAACTTTTATTGATGTTCTGCTAAGGTATAACCTTTTAGAGGCTGATTTTATCAGTTTGTAGTGCCTAGCACTTTAGAAAATGTTTCATTTTTAAGTTAAATTCATTTATCATTGCATTGCAGGTATACATAACCCCCAAACAGTTCTTTCAACTTTTTCAGGAAACAAAAATGGGGGTTGGAACCACAAGATCACAAACAAGTACAAGGCATCTCATTTTTAGTTCAGGAGATACACCAGAATTAAAAAAAAATTTCGTTTTGGAACACAAATTTTGTCCTGGACGATGGCATCATAATGTCAGAGTACTATGCACAACTTGGTATCAGGATTGATGTTAATACCAAGTTTAACATTGTACCATTCAAACGAAAGCTACTCTGAAAAAAGTTTTGAAAAGGGAAGACAAAAAGTAAAGAACAGATGAAATTACAAAACTGCGATTGGAATTAGAAAATTTTACAGAAGAGGTTTTCCCCTCCTTTTTGAGGAGCAAAGGAGCACAGTATGTACTTAATGCCGACAAGCTCCACTCAAGAATATATAAGCAAACACTGCAGAACACTATACCAAAGATGCAAGCAATCTGCTTGATTCTCAACTTTGACTTATGCAGTTACTCTTTTGCAGAACATATTCAATGAGTGCAACTCAATTATTCGTGGAGAAAGATCTAAACTACAGTGCCAATAACCATTGAAAACTGTTATTGTAGCACAGCATATGTACATCAACACCCCATGTAGTCGTTCCAGCTGCTCCTTATTGTATGATGTCAGTCAGGCATGTCAGGAGACTCTCATATTGAGAATGCACATCTTAGTAATCTTCATCCTTATTAATTTCGGCCCATGACTCGTATATATCCATCACCATCAACATGCGAGTTAGTATCTTGGACATGTCATGATCTGCCAGAGGTGCACTCGAGTACCACACTGGACTGTCTGGAACACAAGAGCGTTCTGGTACAAGGTAGAATAATTCACTGTGGCTCTTCACTGAGTCAGGGCTGTAGAATAAAAATCAACACAGTCACTGTAACCAAAAATCAAACTAGACTTTGCATGCCTTTTACAAAGTGGAAGAGGGTTACAGGTTCAAGTCTGATTTAATTGCTCACAATCTTGATGTCATTCACCCTTGCTCTGAGTCAGGATTAACATTTTCAACTTTCTACCAAAATTGACCTATAAACTTTGTAGACTCCTCCACAGAGTAGTGGGAAGGGTCTGCTAGCAAATACTTATCCATAGAGCCACTTCCTGTGCGGGTGTAGGGTGCAGTGCACCTGCTAAGAGTTCACACAGTTGGCTACCTACTGTACCCTGAAGCATGCCCACTATTTTCCCTTATCTCAACAGCTATGGCAGCCTCGTGTATTGAGCCTTCCTATCCCTGTGGGGAGGGAGGAGGGACAATCTGATGGTAAGTATTCGCTACTAGATGCCACACAAAGGGGAGGGGGAGTGTACAGCACTCATCGAAGCCATACAGCCACTATCTATGCAGAAAAGCTCTGCAACCAGGAGATGGGAGTGAGATGTTACAGTGTGCTGTAATACTACAGGGTTGAGTAACGATTGATAAATGCACTCATTAGAAAATGAGTATAACCCAGACCTCATCGAGGTCTGAGGTTAAAAATACCTTTTTTGTGTACATTTCTCTCTGTTTCTTTAATGCATACACTCTGTGCACCATTTTATTGCCTTCTATCCCTCTCTGCTGAAACTTCTAGTGTGACAATAGTTTCTTTCCTGTCTCCCTAAACAACAACACCTTTGTCTTCCCTTCTTCTTGGAAGTGGGATTAAGTAAGAGGGATTAAGGGAGCGGGTTGCCTTACACCCCTTCTACCCTCCATCCCATAATTTCCCCTCTCCAGAGTGCCCAATCAGGGTATTACCCCCTGTGGTGGTAACAAGACTGTCCAATGGGAGGGCAAACTGGTCTAGGAGTCTAGCAGGAGGTTGTGGCCTACATGTGCCAAATATTGTGGGCCATGTGGAATTTCCATACCTTGCCACTGAACTGCGAATGGCACAATACTCTGCACCTCGTTACCCATCTTAGAGCAAAAACTGTTTGTTAGTCACTCTAAAAGTTCAAATTCCTGCAAGTGGGACTTCCACCGAGCTGCTGTTCTGTAAAGATTGAAAGTTGGCTCTTTAGATAAGTCAAGGTTATTCCAATTTGAGTGGATAATTTGTTAACTTAGAATAAGTGTATTTGTGATAATTTGTTATGATGCCTTTTTGTACTTTTGCCAAGTTCTAATGTTAAGAACTCTGTAAGCCTAAGCCTGTAAATAGAAGAAATATTCTGGTATGTTTTGCTGTGGCTTTAGGCAAAGTGAGAAACAGTCCCTTAGAAAGTTGTTTGATGTTACTGAATACAGACATATCTTTGGTGAGAGATCTCCAGCATGCATCCCATGCCTGACTCTTTTAGATACAAAGACATCTGGCTGAATTATTTATGGGGAATAGCCAGAAAGGGACTTTGGTGTTTGCTCCGCCTGCTCCTGAGGTATCTCAACACTTGTATGTATGCCAGTCACTGCTTGGTCCAGGTCGTCAAGGAGTGCCTGGTCCTCAGCCCCACTATTGTATCGGATGTTCGAACTCAATGGAAAGGAATGAGCACAACTCAAACAGAATGAAAGGAACGCAGAGACCTAGTCTGCTTGGTGGAACTAAACTCAACAAAATTTCATCCTTTACACTTCTTCTTTTATACACTTGGACTGGCCGCCAACGCGGACCGATATATGCAAAATTGTACCAAATTAACATAACAGTGGTTATCACACCCACTGTCGCCCAGTATCACCATAATGCCAGCCATTTTGTGACACCAAGTGTGCCAGCCATCTTGTAATACCAAATCCGCAAGTACATGTACCTGTACAATCCTTTGAACTCTTTTCCTGTGAAAACACCAAGCTGAGCTTTTTGCTGGAATGCCATCTCATGACAAAACTCCTTTGATGTTACCAGCCACACACCTACTGAGGAACTTTGATTATTCTCAATGAAAACTTGGGCAACATAACCAATTTTTGTATTGTAGTCAGGCACCCGAGATATATATATTTTCTTCTCACTTTGGTTATATAGTCACCGGTATTATAATGATATCCTTTTAATGCGTAGCTTATATGGTTGCAAGTCCCAATTGCGCACAGTACAACTGAAGTTGACAACTGACTTTTTCCCCAAAGGAGTTGGTTTCGGTTCCTGCCATTTTGGGTGAACCAGGGTTACATGAGTAAGCTAAGAGAAATAAACATGGGCTTACGGAAACCCTTTGCTCTGTCTGGTGAGGTTGATGGCTGGCTTATGCAGCTCATGGAGCTACGCACTCTTGCCATCAGCAATGCTGTTCTTCTGGAATGGCCCTCAGATTAGAGGAGATCGTGAAGGTAGCAGAACATGAATGCGTTGGAGGGTTTCCAATGTGCTGCTTGTAAAATGTAGTTAAATGGAACTCCTTTGAGCTGGTACCAAGAGGTGCTTTGATACTGTGTGCTGAAACTCTGGAGTCATCTTGGGAAGCTGGGCGATGGGGTTAAGGCGAAACCAATGTGATGAGACTCGTCACATCTCCCCTGATTAGTGCAACCCTGTTGAGGTACCACTTCAGGGTTCCAACTGGGCACCAGTACTTATCTTCTGGTACAAGAGTGTGACTGAATATCCGGAACAAAGGTATCAGGAGGATTGAGGGAGTCTAACTGGTTCTTTGTGAGGAACAAGGTGTGAGGAGCCAACCTTACTCCGGTAGTAGCCATTAAATATGTCCAGGATCAATTAATAATGCTTGCAGTTCGCTCTGTCCTTGCAATGTGGCAACTGCTAGTAGAAAGGCCAATTTTGCTACACTGTAAGTAAAGATGCCTGTCCTAAAGGTTTGTATGGGGAATGTGAAAAGTTGTGGTCCAACAGATCAATCAATTATGGAAATGATAAATGTCGGGGCAAGAATGGGGCAACACGGACTCCTCTGCGATGCTTCTGTTTATTTTGTTTGTGCTTATGTGATATTTGAAGAAATGCACACAGTATGTGAACACTCTGGCATACTGGATCGACAGCATCGATGTGCCATACCCCAGATTCGAGGTGTCTGGAGCACAAAAACCAGTATTTTGTTGCTTGCTCCTAATGCAAACAGGTCTATGTGTGAATGATCCATCATTAAGAAAATCTGTTTGGTGATGTGGGGCTAATGGAGCATGTCCCATGTGAGGAGGCAGATTTGGGCTAACTGCGTGCCTCCCTTGTGGTTGGTGTATGCCATCACTGTAGTATTGTGGCATGTGATGAGAACTGAGCGACCAAGATGATCCCACAGAAATGTCAGGGAGCATTGAACACTGCTTGCATGTCCAGGACATTAATATGGAAATTTTCTTGACCTGGGCCCAACCTCCCTGCCATCTGGTACAGGTATGGATGAAGTGTGGTGTCCTAACCAAAACAGGATGCTTCCCTTTGTTGGTTGTTGTCTGGAAGAAATCCACCTGCACGCTACGTCGTGTGGAGTCATCCACTACTGGAGGTTTGGTCGGAAAAAAGAATTGACAAAACCATAGGATAGATGGAGTGTGGCCAGCAATGAGTCAGTCGTCCAGGAAAAATGTGAGGTTGGTCCTGTATGTGTAGCACTGCTCTGACAGCCTGCACAATTCTGGTGAAGTCCCGAGAGGCAATTGACAGATTGAACAAAAGTGCAGTGAAGTCATTGCTCCTTGGTATAGTACTGTACTTTTGAGATTGAGGACTGTGGCCTATGATGGTGTGTGGCTCAAATCAAGGATTGTTTGCAGTGAGCCCACGGAAACATTTGGGGTGGATGAGTGTGTTTAGCAGTTCAGGTTTAGGATTGGCTGCCATGCTCCTGTGTCCCTCTTTGGTGTTACAGAAAAATTTGACAGGAAACTGGATAATTCATCTATCGACGGAGCTATACACGTTGCATTCTTGATTCTGGGCTTGAGTATTTGGAGGTTTATCCTGTCTGTGGCATTGATGCACTTCACTTTGGCCTCCACTGCCTGCTGGGATTTGACGGTGAGAAGGTTTGGCTTTATCAAGAGGAGAGCTTAAAGATGATTTCTGGCTCCTTCTGACAGAAAAGGGGATCTGAAACGTCTCTCTGGTGACAGGAAGTCATGATTGTTGAGATATGTGTAGTGTGTAACTCAGGTAGAGAGAGCTTTTGAGATTGCCAAAGGTGGCAGAGAACATGTCAATGAGAATGGTAGTGCCATACTTCCAGCTCCTGACAAGATATTCAGACAGCACGGGCATGAAGGTCTTGGTATGCATGCTAAATCTGGAGGCCTTTCTTGATGAAGTCGGAATATATTTGGCAGGGTCAGCAAATAGATTACATAGGACTCATTAAATGCACTTCTGGCCATGGTCAGCTTATCTTTGGCTGTGTTCAGAACTCGTGGCACCAACATGTAATCTTCAAAATCTTTTGGCGGAAAGCAAAAGAAAGTCTGCTCACTTGTTGAATACATTTTGCGGTAAGCGATATTGTGAATGCGCTTAATGCAGAACTGGTCCTGTGCAAGGACTGGGCAATGTGAAGAGTCCTGCAGTTTCTTCCACGGCTGAAGGATTGTTTGAAGGATTGTTGAGGAACAGGATCGCGTTCTGATACAGTGGACTCTGAGAGGCTTAAGAAGTGGATTGTGTCGCAGTGGACCAGATGGAATGGTGTTTCCAAGAGGGATAGATTTTTAGTACCAATGATATCATCCCCTCTGATGTCCAAAGAACCATTGGATTGGGAGGGTTGTGGTAATCCAACTGCTGAGAGTCCCAACATGTACATCAGGGTTTCAAGGCTGTCAGTCTCACTTATACAGTGTACTCACTTGTCTGGGCGATTTAACAGATGATTTAATAGTTACAGTCACAAACCCATTTTCAACCGTGCTTGTGCATTCCAAAAGAGGGTGCTCTCACTGTGCATTTATCATTTCATTTATGGCAAAATATGGCAGATTTTGGGACCATAAATTCTTCTAACTAATCCCAATTCTTTAAATCAAAGCGAAGTCCAGTCATCAAGTAGGAAACAGTCATGCAAGGTCATCTCTACAAATGCTTTACAGATGCCCTACAAATGCAACCATTTCTGTCAAACACAGATGTCTTGGGCCAAGACTAGATAAACATAAGGAACTTGGCACACTTAATAAACTACTCTGCAAATTGGGCAATGGGTAGTCCTCCAGAGAAATATGCACAGAAAGTTCTTTTATACTCATTCATAATGAAGAGTGCAATTTTTAACCCTTGCTCAACCTTGTATTTTTACCAGTGTTGTAGGTGAGTAATTTTTCCCGGTAAAGAGTACAGAGTGTTTTTCTATGTGCTAGATACGTCATTTGAATTTTCAGGTCCAGGCACCAGACTAGCAACATCCAAGTTAATTGACATACCATTCTCAGGAATACCCTAGTTTTGGGCCCAATCCAAACCTACCAACCTCTTGGATCCCAAAACTGTTTTCTGAAAATTCAAAAGTTGTTTTTTTTCATTAAGAAATTGTATTTTGCACAAACTGAGCATATCCCTCCATGTGATTGTTTTGACCACTTGTCTGGATTGGGTTAGTCAGAGTAACTCCTGAGTAGACTGTGTCAACACTTCTTTACCCATAAAATGATCATACAAAAAATCCATTATCAAGGTTGAAGAGTGAAATGGGCCCACATTCTCACCTGATTTGAAATCTTAAAAAAGCACATCACATGCCAAGGCTTTTGGAATTTCCTGGCGTGGACTTTGTTGTTGCCTGCTCGCTGACCAGCCATAAAATGTCTCCATTCTTGTTTATTTCCGTGGATTTTTAACTTGAGGTTTGGTCTTGTCAAAGATTGCATCCGAATTGGACCCTCTTTAGACAATTCATACACAGGTGTTCTATGCCCCACACTTGTTGCCATGAAGCCCTCAATCGGTGAATTTGGAAAACTTGAAAAAAAATTTTTTGAGCCACATATTTACGGTGGCAGTTAAATGTAAACTACATAAAATATTGGAGATTGTTTGTCACTACTTCCCCACTGATGCATAAGCGGCTCCAAAGAGTCCCACTAATGCATCATGAATATTGATATCTAATGGACAGCCGATTCCAACAATGATCAGATGGTTACCGGATACTGTTTTCACACGAGGTTTGTATTCGTGCGTGCATGCCCTGTACACACATACATGTACATTGTGTGCAAACACATAATATTATGTACTGTACATTTGCTTTTTTTTTTAGCATAATATACACTTGCAACCGTTGAACTACATTTTTTTTCCCCGGTGTGTCAAAATCATCAAAACCCATATTTTAAGGGGGGGGGGAACGTACGATCATATTTTCAAGATTTCCCACAGGAAATCGTACTAGTTGGCAGGTCTGCAAGATGACTTTTGCGGTGCTGCGATCCATCGTTGCAGTGTGTGTGGTATATGATGTGATTCACTGTGACAGCACCCTTTTTCCAATCGTACCGGCCACTTCCGATGATAATAATTTGTCTGATGGTTCGTGTTGTGAAATAAACAGAAAGGTCTTTGAACCAAGACTAGGAATACCCAATACCCCAGTGTTTTGCATACCTGATTGGAGTGTAAGCCCACAGACAGTGAATATGACATTATATTTAATTTTTTTTAAGTTTTGGCCACAACTATTATCGGTCTGCAAGGGCCAATTTCTTGTGTCATTGTATTTTAATGGCTGTGGTAAGTTAAAGGATTTTTTTGAGTATGGTTAATCAAGTATGAGTACCCCATGCTCAAGTAAAATTTGGTTCAGAGTATTTTGCAGCCTGAGTACAAGTATTTTTTTTTTTTTTGAATATGAGTACTTGGGAATTTGAACACAAGGATGGTACGAGTACTCTGAAAATGGTACTCAAGTACTACAACACTGATTATTATAGCATGCATCTCTCTTCCACCTGGTTTCAGTGCTATTCTGCATAGGTAGTGGCTCTATGGCTAAGATGAGTGCTGTAGACTCCCCCCCCCCCCGATGTGCAGGGTCAACTAGTCAATATTAAGCCATGAAGTGTTCCTCCTTTCTAACCACTGGAGGGAGGCTTGATGCAATATCTTGCCGTAGCTCTTGAGAAAAGGAGAAGAAAAGTTGGTAGGCAAGCAGCAGGGTATGGAGGTAGCTGATTGAGTGAACTCTGTGCCCTAAATATGCATACATGTAGGTAGTGGCTCTGAGGGTAAGATGAGCACCCTACACACAAACTGTAGCATGGACATGTGGGGTTGAAATCATGGGTTGAGGAGTGAATTTCAAAGTCAGATTCAGAAATAGAGCTACTGATGTGTGACTGGGCAATATAATCTGGTTCCCGACAGCACTGAAAGTTCAAAATTTTGTGATGAGGCATTTTTAAACTGAAAAATAATTGTCAATGGTGATTTCAGCACAAGTTTCTGGAAACAAACAGGTTTTCATGCTTACATGTGAGAATGTTAAAGGCACTTACCATTTTGACAAGTAGAATTCATATAGCCTAACTGGGCAACGCAAAGGATTTTCTGTATTCTCTGACTGCTCCAGTCGAGAAGGTTCCATCTCGGAATCACGATCCCGTTTCCTCTTTCCAGCAAGTTCTATCACTGCTATTACAATAAAGACAAGAAAATATTTCTTGATCATATGATAAAAATAAAATCTGTAAGTGCTTTGCGCTGACATTTTTTAAAAAGATAAATCAGCCAAACTTTATATGAAGTCAACTGCCTCAAACTTTGCATTATTCTTGACAGGAACCTTGTCTTTCACAAGACAGTGCATAAACAAAGGTGTACAAAACCAGTAGCAACTATTGAAGTGTAAGGGCATGTACATTATACAACTGTCACCCACTGTGTCAAGGTCATTGGTGTTTTGTCCAGCCTTTGGGGCAAATGTTGGGAAGGACCCCAACACAACAGGCACCAACTGTTTGTTATATCACAATAATAGATTTCACGAATGACAAGGAAATCATCATCATGAAATGCCACGATATGCCACTGCGATCAAAATTATGTACCATGATACTTGAAGGGTGGAGCTAATACACTTAAATGTAAGATAAAGTTGAAGTCAAGTTGGACATAAAGTTGAAGACAAAGCAAATGGTTTTACAAAATGACATTTTGGGTCTAATGCTCCATAATGTGTCCAATAAAGCCTGTCTTTCGGTAAAACTGAGTTACAAAGGTTAAGATACAATGGCACTTGGTGACCATGCAACACGTTTCACTTTATATACCAGGAAAATCAGAAAATATCATGGATGTACCATTGTATTTGTCTAAACAAAATTGCAGGTGCTTAGCTGAGATAGCCGGAGAAAGATCAGGTTGCTCCAATGACTCGAACATACATTTAGTCCAGTGTGGTACTGACAATCAGTTCTTTTTGAGTGACAAATCTTTCCACTTAGACCATTTTTCAGTGTGGCCGGTGGATGGTCAAGTAGCACAGTGCCAAAGTCTGAAGTGTGTATTCAGGTGTACACTAACGAAAGTCACTTACTATGTTGCTTGAGTGGTTAAGGTGTGTTAATGAAATGTTCTGGTTTTCCATCGCTACCCAAACTGATTTTATTTGCATGAAATCAGATTGAATTTCTAACAATTTTGTTTGAATCTGCCATAATGTTCCTGGGACAAATGGCAAAAATGGCCATTGCTCATACATCATGAAAAATTCCCAATATTCACAGAGTGAGGTGTAAGTCTACTACATGTAGTTAATACTACTAATGCAAGTTGAAGTTCGCCCATGAATGATGCAGACACTGCTTAAACATCGTGGGCTCACATATGTTGCAGAGGCCAATTCCTCCCCACAGTAGTGTGGAATGAGTCTGTTATCAAATACCTACCCAAACAGTCGCTACATTTGCAAATTTCCTTGTACGCCCTTTGCCACTCACTGAATATTGATCACCCTCTAGGCCCACCAAGCAGTGTGGCAATGCCACCATGTTTGGCCTTTTTTTAAGAGCACAAAGTCCCAACCAGAGTGGGGAAGACTGGTGGGTGTCGGCTGTTTGGGTAGGTATTTGCTAGCAGACTCCCGCACTACTGTGGGGAGGACTCCACTGTGCTCATCTTACCCAAACAGTCACTACATTTGCAGAGTAGCACCATACTCTGAAGAAGGGTTGGCAAGGAAAGTGCGGAATACCGTGCAGAGTGATGAGGACCCACCAAAGAAAAGGAGGAAGCCATCAAATAGAACTTCGCAGTCTCGGTGGAGAGGCTAATATTGTCTCGCCATGAATTTACCAGGTATGAGATGCATGATTACAGTGTTTTCCAGCATGCTGTCCTGCAAAAGGATGTCTGCCAGGTACATACGACTCTAATGTCATGAACTGCAATAGGGCAGCCAGGTTTGTGAGCTGGGAAGATTGGCAATTTGGGACAGGTGAACTTTATGGTCAAGTAATGATGAAAGAAGAGGGGTAGTACCTCTCAGCTTTAAGTCCTGGCCAAATACCGTTATGAGAGTTTGATCAGGACAGCAAGGCTTGCTATAAGGAGACCCCAAGTGCTCTATGATGTTAGAGATGAAAATGACATGTCAGATGAATTCGAACAGAACTTCGTGCAGGAGTCTAGGACTTGGATTAAGTAAACATGATAGTGTTACCATCCGACGAGATAATCTGTGATGGATACCATCGGCAATCCACTGTCCCAGAATAAAGTGGTTACTGCAAACAGAAGGCCAGTTTCACCCAGGTGGGTGATGATGAGACATCAATGAGAGACTCAATGGGAAGACCTCTGATGAGCTCAAGGACACAAGGCAGGTCCAAACAGGGAATGAGCCATCTCAAAGGGAAATGCTGAATGAACATACAAGATGGAAAGTATATGAGGGCCGTGTTTCCAAGAGAATGGAGCCATCAAGGATAACTACCATGCAAAGCTCTGACAACAGAATGGAAGTCACGTATGAAAGCCGACTGCAATTCTGAGCAAAGTATGCACCAGAAAGAAAGTACGCTACTGCCGCAATGGATGCCTAGGTTGAAGCTGCACGACATCTGGAACACCATGACGTAGAAGCTATTAACTGTTGATGTAGACTTACACTAGCAGCCTGGTTAATCATGGCACCGGGGCTGGTGAAGTCAGAACAGAGCAAAGAGAAGATCATAGCAATGCTCCCAAAGGACTCAGAACTGCTGGGAAGACGGTTAATGAAGGGCAGGCACATAGGTAAGTAACCCTTCCCAGCTGAAATGGAGGAAGTCTGTCACCCACGCTTGTAGGTGAGGGAAACTAGTGCAGAACATCGGCGGCTGAACTTGTTCTGTAGTGGCAAAAATTCAATATAAGGAATGTTGAAAACCTTGCAGAGTAGCTCAGCTATGTTGTGATGCAGAGTCTGCTCTGTAAAGTGAATCTTTCTCTAAAAGAAGATGTCTGTTATAGAGTTGTACTGTTGGCTGCTGGATATGGGTTGTCTTCAGGTCAGTTCTAGAATTTAATGCTTTTGTCTGATCGAAACAATGCAGGTATGCCCTAAAGGCTGTACAAATGTGGTGTACTGTGCTGGAGATTTTCAGAATGTTGGAGAGAATTCTCAGTATGTGAGGCACCCCTGTCCATGAGATGTGGAAGGCAGGAAGGGAAGCACCCTATCCAAATTGTGACAGATTGGTAGAAAGTTGTCACTTAAGGATCCATCTTTGGGAGAGAGATCGTAATCCCGAGGGTTCTGTATTAGCTGCCAGTGAACATGTAACTGGATGGGGTCTATTGTGAAAACTGGGAGGCCAATCTGGTGACATTTTGGGGAAGACAGCCAATAGGTGTGGCTGGAGGGTCCTCATTATGAAGACAGAAAGAGGTACCAGGTCCATCAGGCTTGTCATCAGGCTGACGGAGTGTTGTGTTTGTGTGGCAGGGCTCTGGTAAGGGTCCAGAACGGCACCTAGATAAATCAGGGTATGTTGATTTTCTGTGAATGATGAAGAACTCCGGGTGGCTGGTAAGCTTGCAAGTCAGGTTTGTGTAAGCTACAGCCTTATCTGGAAAACTGTTTACATGGAGTTAGCCATTGAAATACATGTATCTGAATGTCGAACTGGCGTAGATAGGCGGCAACAATTTCTGCCCTTCAGGTGAAGACCCTTTGGGACATCAAGAGACTGAATGGCAGGTCAAATTCCGAAGGTTCTTCCAGTGCAGATACTCAAAGGAACTTGTAGACCTGTAGACTGACTAAAGGTATCCAAGAACGCCATATTCAGATCCACCAACGATGGCTGTGATAGAGTCAGCAGGGGTTGAATTACCATGGAGTGTGTTCAGGCTGTCCCTGTGCAGAATATTTGGGACAAATGTGTGTCTAGAATACCCGCCTGCTTGGTCTTGTCGGAGGGATTGGAGTTAGGTGACAAGTTAGGTGACAATTCCCAGAATAGCTGAAACAGTTGTGAGAATCCATCTGTCCAACGTGAAAACCTACCAAAAGCTTAAAAATTATTAACACAAGCATATGAGCATATTTCTTCAGTCCAGTTCAAAATGTACACATTCCTATGAGAGAAACTTACTTAATATGAGCTGTGCTAAGACGAGAACACGGACCAGACAAGCACTTTTGCCGAACCCGCAGTGTCAAAAACCTTTGTCCGTAGCATTTTTATAATGAGTACAATTGACAACGCCTCTTCATAAGCTTAATCCCAGTAATTGCTGATGCAGAAGTCCTCCAATAGTGCTAATCCCCTCGGCAATTTATGCTGCGGTTTTACCACTGATGACTTGGTAACTGTTCCTTGTGCCCCGAGAGCAGGCTTTATTCAAGATGACAATAGGTGTTGTGATGTAGCGGCATCAAAGGAGTTTCAATCGCGGTGGGTCTGGTCCGAAAGGGGTGCTTTTTTTTTATTTAAACCGAACAATGGGTGAACCAGACTCAAAAATCATAAATGGGACAGAAGTTTTGATGCCGAGGAAAACAAATGCACAAACAATCCTGCCGCATTCACTATAGCTTCTTCTGAGGGTCAATGGAAAGAAAATTTAAATAGGTTTTGGAAATTATACCCTTCTAAATCTCCTTCTTTCCACTAACTGATGTCCCACATTCCCCTTTCATAACAGACTGGCACAACCCTGTCGCACATTAATTCATGACATTAAAAATGAAAGTTACCGAATGTTTTTACAAAATAGATTTCCTCCTACCAATTACAAACCAAAGGAAATAATTCCCCAATGTCAATGCCCTCTTACATGCGGTCCTGACAACCTAGTTCTCAAGTTTAATAACCCTTTACTTACATGCAGCATTGGGTATCTCTTGCCAGGTAGCGCTTTGCTTTGGCGCGGCTGGCCACTTACATCACTGTTCTGTGCTGTTGCGTCAAACAAGTAGGCGTATTCAAAATCTCTGTTCTATTCATTCAAATCATATTATTAATACAGTTTAAATTTATTAAAAGGTTACAGGCTGGTACAAGTACATCGAATACTAATCCACTGCATAAACTGTACCATACAGTACATGTACAGTACACTGCTGTAGTGTAAAACAATGCTTGCTTGTGTACATGCACATGTATGATGCCAGGCTTGCGCTCTATGAATGGGATAAGTGCCAACACGAATAACACGGGGTTCACGACAAAGTTTTTGGAGAATCCCTTCGAGCTCACATTAATCGTGTTTGACTGTAGTAGGCAGTGTCAAACACAGTACCTTCTGTGTTATTTGCATGGGCTGAGAAGGGGAGGGGAGGGCAGTGCAGAACTTGACAGGTGCACAGGGTGAATGAATGGAATGAGTAGAGTGTCTCGATACGATTAGCCTTCAATTCCATTGTCTCTATGAGCTACCCCGCAAATACGTCTTTCCCGTAAAGGGGAGCCGTTGAATTTTGCTTTCACACCCTCATGCAGGATGTTCATGGTCTCTAGTGCATTAGCTCTGTTGGAGATGTACATGTAGGAAAATTGCTCGGAAATAGAGTTGACGTCCTCATCCAGTGCCATATTGGTGACTGCGGCAAGATTTGGAGAGATTTTTTTTTTTAATACATAGGAGAGGTACTCCAATAAGCATGAAATAAAAGGCTCTATTCAACCCAGTTAGGGTAAGCACAAGGTTGGATTTGTCCTTGCAGTGCAAGAGGAGCCTTACCGGAAGACTTAGTCAAATAAAAAAGAACCTGTCTTTAGTGGCAGGCCCAAAACTATAAATCATGTTTCTGGAGCAAACAAACACGAGCCTCTGATTGTATGTGGCTATTAATAGTGGAGTCTCTCCCTTCGTCCTCAGACAACCGATCTTGATGATCGGAATGAATCTGGATCGGGCCATGTTGTGTATCCCGAGAGGGACTGTGTGTAAGTTCGGATGTGGGTAGATTGTCTGCTGGGTATCTGAGCCTGGGCTGACAAATGATGCATGTTCGCGCTGGATGGTGAAAGTCACGGGTGGTGGATGGAAATCGATTGGAAGGGTATCAAGATCCGAAGCTGAAAGTGAGGGTAGATACTTGTAGGCTTTGGATCAAAGCAGCTAACCAGCAAAGATAGTGACTCAGAGGGCCTGGAAAGCTGAGACGATGGCTGGGGAATAGGCAGTGTGGTATTTGGGCGAATGCAACAACCTACTAGTTGACCAGGTGGAAGAAGACATGGACTATTTATGCTTCTTACGCACAGGAGAATTTGCAGGAGAATGGCTGAGCTGCGGATCACGTGGGGAAGAGGCATTATGGTGTTTGGATGAATGCGGCTTCCTACTAAATGGCCCAGGGAAGAAGAAATGGGGCGTTTACATTTCTTACACACTGGCGAATTTGCAGAAAATTTCCGACAAGGCTGGCTGGGTAGAAGTGGTGGAAGAACGGTCAGGCTGCAGACCACACTCGGGTGGAGGCTGTGCAAGCTGAGCTGCTGTGGCGGGAGGTTCGGAAGCATTCTTCAAGGAGAGCCCCAAAGAAAAACCGGAGGGTGAAAATGACCTTGGGCATGTGAGAAAGTGGTGTAGCAGGCCAGTGGTGCATTCACCGTAACAGCCCAAGAGAGTCATCGGGAGGTAGCCCGGTAGCACTACTGTCTGGTTTGTGGCTGGTTGCCCCCATTGATATTGGCTTGGCGTATGGGGGTCATATGGGTCAGCGATTGAGGCATTGATTCAGCTCCTCACAGGTCTCAGTGAGCCTACCAGCAGCGATGGGGAAGTCTCGGTAGGCTATGATGGAGACGTGGTGCTGGAACTTTTTTTAGCACACATCCTGCTGGGAATAACTTTCAATCAGTGATGAGCCCATTCATTATCAGACTCATCCAGATCTCTTACAAAGCTAGCTGGTTGATCTTTTTTGAATTTCAGAAGTCTGGAAAAACTGTACATGCATCTTTATATCTTTAATATTTGGTGGGACTGGAGCATAATTTCAGTGCAAGGAAATGTACTGCAACTATTCATTTTTTTAAACTTGTTGAAATCAAACAAATGAACATCTTTTATCTGTTTTTATAATTTTTCTTTAACTTCTTTCTTTCATGTCGTGACCCATCTTCTGCAATACGTATTTTATCATAAGCAAGTGGTATTATTACACACCTAATGAAATGTATCTTTAATTCTTTCATGTCTATTTTCTTGACTATTTTCCCATAGAAACATGCATAATTCAGTTGCGAAAATGATTAACCACTTGCCGCCAGGATTTCCAGTGCCAGACATGTCTGCTTTATACGCATGGCCGGGGTTTCCAAAATCGGACAAAGGGAACTGGGCCTTGTCACAAAAGACCGTACTCGGAACAAAAGACCAGGCTGCTGGGCATTACTGGCATTTTTTCACTCTCAATAGTGGAGATTATCAAGCCTTGTTTTGAAACACAATACCTCAGTTAGGGGCATTTAGTGGGAGCAGATTACCACCAGGGAAAAAGCACTCCACCACTGCAGCGATAAGCCACACAGCACCACTGCACGCTAATCTGGCCCCGAATGAAAAGAGGTCAGCAGCGCACTGTACCAGGTTCATGAACAAAAGAAAACTATATAACATTGCACAATCTGGGCTCTTTTTACAAGGCTGTAGGCCTGGCTGAAATACTCGGGTGTCAATAGATTTTGTCTGTCAGACTAGAGTAGCAATCATTCAGTCATTCGTGTGGGTGTAAACATCCATTAATTGAAATGATGAATTTTGAAGAATTTGGAAAACTGAAAATCTTGAAAAAGTCCCAATTATGTGCACTGCATTTTTCAAACCACCCCGCAGCAAGTGGCTAATGTTCACTGTAACTGGACTTTTGTCTTAACCAAGTTTGTGAGAGTCAATGATAAAATCAAGGAATATAGGAACCAACCTTTTTTCCGGTCTGCAGGATAGTATCTCAGGAACAATGATCGAGTTGTACCCACTTTACGGACATGTTTCTGGATACGACAGAATGCCAATGCCTTATGAGTGGCGAGAGTCTTGAGCTGGAAATGCTTGGTATTAAAGTAGATCATTGTGCTCAGAAGGATATAAGGGGAATGAGCTCCAAGCTGTTTAGCACTCCACAATGTCTCCTCATTAATGCATGTATTCAAGATGAAATCAGTGATAGGATCCCGATCAATCATCCATTCTTTGATCTCATCATGTAAAAGATCAGTAAACCGACGGTAAAATTGATCAGTAAAGACATTTTCAGGGCGGCCATTATCAGAGAGATGTTGCTGTATTGACAGGAAGATGAGATGTAGAACATCTGCAGAATATTTGTTTCCATTGGGCTGTGTTCCTTCTTTACACATCAAACACAGAATGTATCCAAGTTCTTCAGTACTAACTTCCAACAGGTTGGGATTCCATGTGAAGCTCTTCAAGTCCTTCCCTGTTACATTTTGTTTCTTCTTGAACACAAAGTAACGATATGCATTAACTCCAATAGTATTACGAGATTCATCTTTGCTACGTCTCACTTGTGGTGGGGGTTCTTCTGGATCTTGATTTAAAGACCCTTCAACACAAGCACGCTTGTTTCCACGGCTGCGTCCACGTCTACCTGATGTTTTACTTGATTTGGAACGAGTAGTTCGCACTGATACATCAATTCTTGGTTCCTCTACAGGTTGAAGTGAATTCAGATCATCTGCAAATAAAAACAGTGTCATTTAGTTTTCGTGAGATCCCTGTAATACTTGTCAGGGAATGTTCAGCAAAATCTACTTTGATGATTACTGTAACAAAATACTCCAGGGAATTAAAATTTCCTATAGGGAACATCAAAAAATCCTGAACACAAGATCCTGCAACTAACAATAAATAACACAACATGAACCCAACCTTTTAAAATGTCTTCACATTAGTGTTGTAGTCGAGACCAATTAAGACCTTCACAAGACCAACACAAGACCTCCAATCTGAATTCCAGTCACAAGCTATTCAAATGAACTGCAACAAAAGAATTCCTTTGTCATTGTTCACACTGTTGCTTATGGATGGTCTTGTGTCTGGTCTTGTGTTGGTCTCAGCTACAAGACTGCTTCACATTTATCTTGTTTACAATATAACATCTTCAAAAATTCCCTTATGTTTTTTCCCTTTTTAGTGTAAAATGCTTAAGCAAATTAATTGTTTGGTGTTATAAAAGCGATGTGTATCACAAAAATGTAAGGGGCAACCATGAACCGAAAGTAATGAAAACAGACTGATTTTGCCCTTTCAGAGCCCGTAAGTGAGGTGTATTTGAATACAGAAAGTTAGTTACAGAAAAACAGTGAACCCTTGTTTATGTTCATGTACCAAACCTGCAAATGTATCTATCATAAGAAAACTTTCTACGCACAAATCTTCTCTGTACCTATGAATTTGTCTTGTACATGTACTACTATGCGCACTAGTGAAAAATTCTGCTGCTGCTGCCCCCCTTCGATTTTTATGAAAACCAGGTAATAAAAGTGTGAAAGAGCAGTTTTAACCACTTCGTGCCGGGGCATTTTTCAATGTTGATGATACTGGGCCGGCATGACTATCATTTTTTACATTTTCAAAATCCTTCAAAATTCATCATTTCATTCAACGGTCGTTTATAGCCGCACGAAGTAATCTTTAGGCACTACTCTAAGTTGACAGGTGACCTTCACTGACGCCCGAGCATTTCAGCCAGGCCAGCAGCCTTGTAAACAGAGCCCAGATTGTGTGGTGCTGTATAAGTGTTTTTTGTTCACGAACCTGGCTTAGTGCACTGCTGACCTCTTTTCAATAGGGGCCAGATTAGCGTGGAGTGCTCTTGTCCCCGGTGGTAATCCGCTCGCTCTCAATGCCCCAAACCCTGGTATATGGTTCCAAAAGAAGGCTGGATTATCACCACTTTTGAGAGTGAAAAATGTCGGTAATGCCCAGCAGCCTGGTCTTTTGTTTGGAGTACGGTCTTTTGTTACAGAGCCCTGTCTCCTTTGTCCGAGTTCGGAGACCCCGGCCACCCATAAAAAAAAATAGGTCTCCGATCCCCGAGTCCCCGGCAGGAAGTGGTTAAACTTACATTTAAAACCAGATGGGAGCTAGGGTGATAATGGGACAAGCCAAATTTGAGTTCCATTATCAGTGCCAAGCCCCAGGCTGGTTTTAAACAAACTCGTTTAAAAACTGCTCAAATACTTTTTTTCTGCTACACAAACAACTTTTTTTGCTGATGTCCAATCAAAGTAAAACATTTTTATCTTCAAAACAACTTAATTCATTAATTTTTCTTTTAGTCAAATCCAAGTTATTTGCCTCTATGTGCAATACTAAATCTTATCTGGAAATTGGCATGTTAACTGTGAGATGAGAGAATACAGTGGTGCCAGTGTCAACTGAAATTTGGGCCAAATAAAACATAGACATATTGGTTGTAGTGCACTTGCCTATCAAATGATATTTGGTTAGAGATTGTCATAGTGGTCAGAACTTCAAAGAAAACTGGAAAAGTGTTTAAAACACTTGGTAGTTTTGTCTGTCAAAACCACCTGTGTGACAGATTCTTGACAAAACAATATGCATATGTCAACTGAGGTATTTATGATTTGCAATTAAAACTACCACATTACAATATAATTCTTTACAACAAACTGAAACACAACAACCCCCAAAATACGAAAGATGTGTTTGTTAAATCAACAAACAGCTGTTTTATAATGTCTTTATGGGCCAATGTCTGAATCTGGCTATAGCTTGAAATTAGAGAGGAGTATAGGAAATAGATGCTACTGGACCACAGGCACCTTAGGGTAATAGGTGCACTTTGGTATATGGTTCGGTGTAAAGTTTTATTATTTTGCATGAAACATCATCCTATTATGTGACAAAATGTGTCAGTATTTCAGCCAACTGGGGGTAATATATAAAATCAAAGACATTGTGTTCTGGTCAACATTACTACATTGTAAATATGATTTCAATGTGGTGTCATTAAGCCACGGATCATAACATCATTGTGAAAATGCTGTGGAGACAGATTTACAGCTAAGGGTCTTTGAATGTGCAAACTTTCATAGCCTGTAAGAAACTAATGACAGCAGATACAACTTGACAAACTTCAAATTTAATAAAAATTCACAAGATGTCATGACATTGCTTACACGCCAAGTTTTTAATCCACTTGGACATGTATTTCTGTAGATATAGGATTTTGAAAAATGCAACTTTAACATGGCATCATACAACAATGAGATTATCGTACCAGAAATCTTCAAGGACCATCTTTGGGTTGTGGTCTACATATGTGCCAAACTTCAAGCCAATCAGACCTACCAAAATGGCAAAGTGTATTAGCAGAAGAAAAAGAGTCCAAAATGGATAAAAATGAGGGGGGGGGAAGAAAATTTGAAGGAAAACAAAGGCTGTTTAGGCTGAGTTGCTGAAAAAGCTAATAACGACCTTACTCCAGAACTAGATAGAAGCATTTGTAAACAAATACAAACACAGAGCTGTTTTGGGACTGTTTCACCAATAAAATAAGTATTCGCAATTGTGATGAATAAACCTGGCATCAAGAAACTATGAGAGAGTAAAAAGAAACAATTTACTATTCTGGACGTCACATATCCGTCACATACCACGAGTTTCAACCGATGCAGTTGGATTTCAACTTCAGAAGATAATCTAACATAACTTGTCACATGATGTCATTCTGACAGTTGAGAGTTTGCCTTGTACTTTGTGGAGTTTCCAAGAATTGCTTGAAAATTATAATATTGACTTAAAGATGACATATTCGACTTCTTAGACTGATGACATCATTATGAGTGGACTTTATACCAGTTACAAGAATTGTATTTTTAAAAAAGTGTGTTTGTGGACAAACACAGCTGGTTCGGCCCTGGTCTCCACCCTAATGAATTTCTTGACAAACCACTCACAAAATTTAATGACAAGTGCACACAGACGATACAGAAAACACATTGTTCAGTGGAATATTTAAAATCGTCAGAATCACAAGAGGTCAATCTTGGTCTAAAACCCTTCCCCTTTAAGTTTCAACCAAATCAGACATGTACTTTACGAGATATAGCACTTTAAAGATTGCCCCCTTAATGTCAAGTGACTTAAACCCTTCCCTTTCCAGCCACACACAAAGTTTCAACCGAATCGGCCATGTACGTCATGCGTACAACGGTTTCAAGAGTTCCCCTTTAATGTCATGTGACTTGCCAGCTGATGAAGTAATTATGAGAACTTGTACAGAAACCTTTTCTAGCGTGTCCTTAGTGTGTGCCCCTAACGTGAACTCCGATCGATAACAGTGCCAAAGTTCTCCTTTTGAAAAATATGTACAAAACCTAATTAGAGAGGGAAAAATAAAATATTTAAAATTCAAAAATTAATCATGTAATGACGTCACCATATTGATTTTTTTTGTAGGACCATCCCTTATTGATTGTCTGAGGGCTTGTTACATATGCAGTCAATCAGATTTTTTGAAAAAGTGCTCAAGTCAACTAACTCATAATTTACTTGCACAAAACCTGTGGAAGAAAACTGCACCTTTAAAGTCATGTCACGTGATTTGCGTTTACATTGAAAAAATTACAAAATGGAAATTTGTATTGTTACGTCATAGATTTAAGCAACTTTGCCAACCAGTGGTAGTAATGCGCATGCACTTGTCTTATTTCTCTTTGCATATTTCACGTGAACTTTCTCATGAAATATGCAAATAAGACAGGTGCTTTGCATTACTACCACTGGTTGGCAAAGTTGCTGGTATCTATGACGTAATACAAATCTCGATGCGCGCGTTACTATCACCGTTTCTGTCCTAGTATATTTTGACATGAGTGCCAAACTTAAAGACAAGGAATTGTTACTTTCAACCTCAGTTTCCACAATATCCCCATATGTATTTTTATGAATGATATGATATCCGATATCAACATCATATCAAAATATCGTTAAATATCATCATATCATACAGGCTTAATACTTGCTTCAGCAAGAGGAACTCCATCAACTTCTTTTTCCAGCCAGTCCTACTTCCAAACATTATTTATGTCTTTAGGCCCCCAAAAATTGTTCAGCTTGTTGTTTCCCAACCGACTTTAAGTGTTCGGTGGAACCCTAAAATTTATATCGGCAAGTAAGAAAATCAAATTTAAAAATGTCAAAATGCTTTTATTTCTAACTTTGCCTACTTACATTCGCAACTTTTGAAAAGAAACTCATTATTATCAGAAGTTCCCTTCGTGTTTTGCAATTGCAGTGGTAAAAACATGAGCACAATACTGCTCTATGCACTAACCGTTCACTCACACAGCTACACAGCTGCACACATTCTAAAAGCATTGATGTTGCAAGAAGATTTCTGCAAGTTAATTCACAGAACCTGATCTCTTTCCAATATATGTATTTTCTGTGTTCAAGAATGTAATTTGAGATTCTACTGCTTGTAGCTCCTTGTCTTAAGGCCTGTTTTACCTAGACATCAACCATCCATGATTACAATACACAAAGTAGTTTGAAGGGAAACTTGTATGTCCAGTTTAACAGGACATCAATGTCTAAAAATAATGTTATTCACCGAGGTATACATTATTGAATTTGCTTAGATGGTTCTATGATATCACTCCTGTCTTTAGCCGTCTTTGTAAAGAAATTTAATTTTTAGAGAAATATATGGAATTTTTCTAAATTGCTCTTATATTAAGCATCTTGCCCTTGTCTCACACTTGTCAGCTGTATGCTACATGTATGTTTTGTTTGTCCCTTGTCTGTATGTTTTTTTTCAGATTGCCTCCTCATTGTCTGTCTGTCCATACATGCAGGTAAGGGTACAAAAGCATTTGCTTAATCCCTTTGCGATGGAGGACTGCAAGCTTCGCAGCACTGTGTGAGGATTAGTGCATACCACACATACAGTCAATTCACCATGCAGCTGCTGATTCAATGGGGCCTGCTGCTGGACAGAGCTTTGCATACTGGGCATACCACAGCCCTGCAGTCGTGGTCAAAAGAATACAGGCGTGAAGGGGTTAAAACGTAACACCTAATGTTGTCATTTTCTTCTAAATGCTATGTGACTATGATAATATTAATGCTATTTATATCCATCGGTGACAAATGTACGTTTGTGTATCTAATTTGTGTCCACGATGACCAAATTGAATAAATGTCAACTTACTACTACTACTAGTCTCGTATTCCAAAAAATTTCCTGCTGAGGCAGAGGGTTTATATCGTCCATCCCTCTAGATGCATCATGCATGTGGACAGGGTTTTCAGTCCCTGCCTGATTCCATGGGTTTCCCTGGAATATTTATGCAGGGTTTTCCTCCCACCTCTAAAATCCTCCCCCACGTAGAGTGGGTCGGGTCTCCTAGTGATACTTACCCCTGCCCAGCCTACATATGCAAATTTCCCATGTGACAATTCCCTGAAAAGACTTGATTGTGCATACTGCCCCTTGACCCTCCACAATGCACTGCTGTCCCGCTGCATTCACATACCCCTGCCCAGCCTACATATGTAGAGTGGCAGCGGACCCTGGAGGTGGGTCGGCGACAGGAGTGAAGTTACTAAAAGGAACACAAGGCGGGTGTTGCAAGATCAAGCACTCACCAGGAGAAACTCTGCTCTGTAGAGCATTTTTCAGGAAGCATTTTTCGGTGAAGGTGGAGGAAGATTTCCACCAAGCCGTCTCACAGATTTCAGCTAGAGGAACTCCTCTGAAGTACAACCAGGATGCAGTCGTGGCCCGAACGGCACGGGCCCTGACCCAAGATTGGGTCATCTAATCATGTTGTGCCAGCCAGTCTCGGTTAGCGAAGATAATGACCGAGACCATCCATCGGGCAATAGTGTTCTTCGACGCCAGGTGAAAGGGTTTTGTTGTGGTGATGAAAAGCTGGGAATTAGATTCTCAGCAATGCTTGGTCTTGGCAAGATATCACTTGAGAGTCCAGACCAGACACCATCTCTTGTCAGAATCGTCTCCCGAGAGTGAGACTATGTTGGGAGCAAATTTGTTGGGAGGCCCGAAGGTAAGCATCTGGTTTTTCGACAGAAACCAAAAGGTTGGGATAAGGCGAACCAGATGTGGCTCCCAGCAGACGTGACCATCAGCAATCGATGGGGCATGCAGCTTGCTTCCTTGTCTCGATGCAACGACCACAAGGAGGAATGCCAGATTGATGCTGATATGGATGTCAGATGCATTGGACTGCAGTTTGAGGGGGGGACCATCAAGAACGGGTAGGACACTTCCAAGGTCCCAGGTTAACATGAGGTATTTGACGTGGAGACACTTGACAAACATTCCTCAAAGAAGATGGTGGATAGCAGTGTTGTGAGAGACAGTCGATCTATTGCTGCAGTCCGAGTGAACAACCGCCAAGGCCGACCAGTAGTTGAGGAGGGTGGCAATCCGGAGGCCCAATTGAAACAGGAAGTGACGAAGTCACGGAACTCACAGGAGCTTTGGTTGGAGAAACATCTTGGTTGTCGCACCATCTAATAAAATGTTGTAGTTGGCTTTTGCAAATTTTGTGAGTGCACAGTTGTCAACCCAGGGCTGCCATGGACACAGCATCTGTAGAAAGGCCCAACACCCTGAAGGATCCTCCAGAACATAAAGTGAAGACCCTCCGGTAGTGGGTGGAAGATTCCTGACTGAAGGACCTGTGGCTGTCGTACCAGGGGTCTTATCAGTCTTGGTAACCATGGTTGGCAAGGCCAGTACAAAGCGATGAGGAGGATCTGACATGGCTCCCATTCTATCTTGGACAGGACCCCTGGGATATTGGGGAAAAGGCGTACGCCAGAAGGTCTGCCAAGCTGATCTGTAGTGTACTTGTCACCCATGCCTGTGGGTGAAGGAACCTGGAGCAGAGATCTTCCAGAGATGGGTTTTGTCGACGGAAGCGAAGAGGTCGATATGAGGATGCCTGATCTCCACAAAAACCTGTCTGACCTGGGAACAATGGGGCGTTGGCCTGAGGCGTTGTAACTTCCAAGTCACGCTTGAGTGAACTGCTGTGAAGTTCGTCTGACAGCTGTAGTTCATGGTGTGTGGCAGTCACTGTAGCTGGCCCAGGAGGTGTGGGGTTGCCCCGGTGTGTAGACTGGTGAGACATATCGATAAATACATGTATTCCATGGTAGGCACTGGTAGTAGGGAGACAGGCAGAGAACTGGGGGTGAAGGAGTGAGTTTACTCTTCCCAAGTGCAGTGCTGAACCGACAACTTCACCACGATCCGGGACATGATCTGGAGCCGGGTCATGCTGGGGCAATGGTTCTGGCCACTTCAGTCTCCGAGAATGCCCCTTGTGAGGGAGGAGGGACGACCGGGAGGGGATCCAGGTTGGGTGTAGTCACTGCTGGCTGAGGCTTGCAGGTGAGAGTGTCCAAGGTCAGGATCGGTGGCCTCATGGCCGGAGTCCATCGGCAGACTGGAGCTGCGGATGGGGAGTGGCGGACTAAAGTCCCAGTGGCATAGCAGTCCAAAAGGGGCAACAACTTCCGATACAACGGCAGGCTGAGTGCCGTGTTGTATTGCAGACTCATCCATGGCAGAAGAAGTGGAGAGTGGCGAACCCACTGTCGAACCCATTGCTCACTTGGAGGGGGTTGACTGGCCCAGCTTCTGAGCAGGTGCCGCCCGGCGAGCAGAAGCCGGCGAGGGACCTGGGGCAGATAGCAGTCCGTTGCCCCACGAGCCCCGCTGGGCCAACGGTCAGTAGGGTTGCTCAAGGATGTTGTAGGTACCCATGCCCGGGACCTGCAGCTTAGAGGAAGGAATAGCTTCTTATGGTCTGGTCAACCGTGATCAAGGGTACTGTTAGGGCACAGCATGCTCAGCCCCGTCGGTAGGTGTACTGAGTAGCCATCAGTGATCAAGGGTAGTGTTGTGCGGCAACTGCTAGCTCAACCCCAGCCCATTCACTCCACTGGGTCTCTCCCCAACATGGCTGTTAACCTCGCGCAACACAAAAACCACACCACAAAGGAGCGGGGCAGCCCGCCAAGCCCCATTCAACGGCCAGACCCATAAAGCGTTGGGCTGTTATTATTCGAACGAACACACAACACTGGGCACAAAGGGCTGCACATAAGCCCTGTTCAATGGCCATACACAACACATACCATAGTAGGTCACACCCAAACCTGCAGATTACACACAGAAAAAAAAGGGGCAGAAAAGAACAACAAAAACACCAAACACAAAACTAAGCACTCTTACCAACAGATAAGGAATCACTCTTTATTCGTAAATAGGAATCAAGTCAATTCACAAACGTGAAAGGTTACAGAACTCGAAACTCTGAAAATGCCATTAAGACACATCCGTAAATGATAAGCAGTGAGAAAAGATGGACAAACATGGCAGTGGGACCGCATTGCATCGTGGAGGGTCAAGGGGCAGTATCCATAATCAAGTCTTTTCAGCGAATTGTAACAGGAAATTAGCATATGTAGGCTGGGCAGGGGTATGTGAACACAGGAGACGTGAACATTTCTTCACTGTCTTCTTAATTGTCACTTCATCCTGTAATTGGCACTAAACAGCCCCGTTGCCCCTGGCGGGAAGCTGGTCCTCCAATCAGTAAAACCCATAAGCATAAAAATGTATATCATGTTCTTGTGATGTGACCCCCATGCTGGTACTGTGGCCCCCCTTGATGCCTGAAGCTGGCAATGGGGCTAGTGCTAAATGTGCTGTTGGATGAACAGATATATAGAGTTTTTAAAGCTTTTGTGGCAATTTTGGGTAGCTTTCATCTCCGTTCAACTAGCACAACCCCCCCTTAACAAAATTCAAACCTACCATGTACCAACCCTAATTTAACAGGCATGTAATAAGAAGACTTCTTTTGGTCTTATCAACAGCTCTGGTCCCTGTTCTCATTCGACGATGTCTTTCCTTTTTGACGTCATTTTGACACATGGGTATGCATTTGATGTTTCAACCGATGTAGGCCCTACAGGTCCGACCACATTTTACAGAAGTGTGTCTCACATGCGTGTATTGTATAGTATCCGAATCCCAAAGTAGTCAATAACATAAAAAAACAAAAACAAAACCATATCGCTAGCTTGTTGTACATCACTAGATTCAAATCCAACACTACTAATGGTCTTAATGTGCACGGAACGGAGCCTGTACCCTGCATGATTTTATTCTGTTATAAAAGTACACAAAACATGGAGCCAGATGACATCCTTCATTTGTTACAGTGTGCCAAAGAAATGGTGATCAAGACATCTTCTGTGGGTGCCGCAGACTGAAACAAGCATCGAAAGTAGATTTTTTTTCATGGCCAGACGTGGAAATCCACAGATCCATGGAAAAGTTGCATGCCTGAGAAATGTATTCTACCTTGTAGTTCAGTGCTTCCATCGTCTTCTAGAACCTCAGCAATATCAGCAGCCATCTTAAGAATACTGTCAGCTAGGAAGTGAGATGGTTCAGTATCTTCTGCATTCTCCAATCCAAGACCACCAAAATCATCACCTTCAGCTGTGGAATATTAAATATTCAGGTTAAAGTGAAGTTAGTCTTCTAAATGTTGAGTGTTAGTGTCAACAATAAACGAACCTCTCTGCCAACGGACAGCATCAGCCACGTTAAATGCAGGGATCAACCTGTTAAAAATCTACAAGAAGTGTCCATCCCTGCACCTGAAAAAAAACAGGTATTCCTGACACCTACCCTGAAAAGAGATTGGAGGAATTTGACAGATACTGACATTCAACATGGATAAATAAAATCATAGTATTGAGACTAGTGGGCTTGAAGCTGTGTGGACAAAAACAGCACATGAAGTATACTTTGATATTTCAATTCAACTAAAAAATGATAATGGTAATGCTGACATCAGGGCAATATTGAATAATCAAATATTATCAATATTCTGATGGACTGTACATTTGTGGAGCTACATGTACATGTATCAGGTGGCTTTTCTCACAAGAATCATGAAAATTGTACCAAAAAAAGCACAATGGAAACACCATTCTTCTCAACAGATAAAAACTTAATGTTATAAGTATGCTGATGCTGCTAATGCACAAAAACCAAACTAAACAAGTTAAATATTCAGGCAAATTTCAAGGCTTACAGTACCTTCTGTTGAAGCATTACCTCATTCTTTACCAGGAAATTATGCATGAATTTCAGCAATACGCTAGACTGAGCACGGAAAATTCCAAGTTGTAAACAAACGATCTATTAAGACATTGTGTTAAATGAATGTTTCACATACATACAGTAAAAATTATCACTTTTGTTCCTTGACCGATGGAGTATTTATCACCTGTCACCTTGAAAAACTCATCCTTGACAGCACCTTTATAAAAATGATGTCTTGTATCATATACATTATAATGTAAAGCATCTATACTAAGTGAAAGGTCAGCTTGTTGGTAAGTCGATTGTTTGGTCAGTCACTGAATCAGTCAGATGGAAACAGGCTGCTCCTTTTGTGTCCACCAGAAATGGAATCACAGAAATGACGAGCAGCTGGAACATAATCCATGGGTGTAATTCTAGGAATAATGTGGATACCATTGGCTTACATCTAGGTGTTATTCAACATGTTTGAGATCTATGATATAGAGCAAGCAACCCCTGTAAAGCCACAGATAGACTCAGCCTATGATTCCTTAGTACAGTTAAACCTGCCTTAGGGACGGGATCAAAAATACAGAGACCATTCACACGTGCGAACACCAGGAACGCATTCTTTTGTTAAAGCTACCTTCACTTTGCGCATGTGAGAACGGCCGTCCTGTTCTCTCACGTTCCTCTACAACAAAAGACCCGTCACTGTCTGTGCACACGACAAGATGTTGTGGCCCCCATGGTGGCACAAAACGTATGCAAAGAAAATGTGTAGTCTGCAAAACAAGGATGGTGTTCGAACAACCGTCCATGGATTTGCAAACAGCAGGAAAACTTAAATGTTGGGCCACTCTTCTGCTTAAGACATTTCTTTTAATTCTCTGAAGGAAAGCACTTCAGCACTGCATTCCACAAAGTAATACTTTGCTTCGTATCAACAAAAGATACACATTGTTTAAAGTTTTGTGAGTTGTTTGTTACTGAGTAGAAACATCTTTCCAGCCTTTTGAGGTTTGCCCATCTTCTTTTGGTATGTAGAGCCTGCCAATACTGAACTTGAAGGAAAAACATTAGTGCTTACGATGTTAGCACTCTTGGTACTAGAATTAGGGGAAGGATTCTGAGCCCTACCAATCGCATTATTTTCATTTCAGGTTGTATCCCTCCCTATCACAGAGCATTATAGCCTTCACAAATTTATTCTACCATTTCAGAGTTTTGTCCTAGTTTTGAGACCTAGGCAAAAACATTTCAGCTCCCAACTGGCTGCTCTTTTTAAAGATTTTTATCTTTAATTTTAAGCAACTCCAGCAAAAAGAATATTCCTGCCTTTACACATTAAAAAAAAACAATCCAACGATACTTGTGCTTCACAGGTTTGAAGAATCGGAATTTATGTTTAATTTACTAAACGTTCAGCAACTTTTCAATTTGCCATTTAACCATTTGGCCAACACCAAAAAAAACATTAATAATAATAAAAGCTGCCGCATATCAGCTCTGTTTCTGCCCAACAAGTGAGTTTTTAATGCACGTACAGTAGCTCAACGACAATGCATTTGTGGTTGTCTGAGTGTATGCCGGTGTGCTAATATTGAAGACATACAACTTTCCAAAAAGGGAGAGAACCGAGGGGAAGTTGTTGCAATTTATCACTGTGTAATTATAAGAAATATATTCATTTGGGCTGTTCAGCAGAATATTTTTCCTTCCAAAAAGGTGAATAAATTTTTGTAGAAGAACTTGTTTATAAATTTTAAGGCCTGGAAAATGCTATTTTTCATAATTTAATGTCAAGAGAAGAAGATGAAGGAACATTATTTAATTCACCAAGGCTGTACAACAAAGTCTCGCTAATGGCCAGGCAGAGTCCGGGCAGGGGCTTGAAGGGGCCCAAGATTTTCCATGGTAATACTCTTTCTTGGTAACAGTGGCATAACTCTGGGACTGTAAGTGTATCCTATCAAAATGGCTGCTTTACTTGCTAAGAATCAACTTTTATAGTAATTGACTGAGGATTTACAATCAATGTATCTGCCCCCAAGTCTTCCTATGAAGAGGGGGCATCTTCAAAGATAGCCTGTGTGACCCAAATACTTAAAAAGATACATTGTGTCTAATGCAGCAATAGAGCTGTTAATCACTCCTCAGAAGGTTTATTTTCCTGCAGAGCTGGGGTGGATTTATTCTAGAATTTTTTATCTTCCGGATTTGCCGAGCCACATGCACATAGTCATTTAGTCCCAAGATTTTATTTTTTTGTGTATTGGTGTCTAAGTCAATTAAAAACTACAACATTAAGAATTAAAACAGCCATTTTTTTTGTTCTATGTTTAGACAAGTTACATCTTGGAAACGGTACTTAAAGGTTTGACAAGACTAACCAGCTCTAAGCCTGAGTTATCGAGAGTTCCTGAAGAGTGGACTTTTACAGCATCTTTTGAAATTAAAAATTAACCCAGATTGCGTCAATTGAGCTTTGTGAAACCTTCAACAGTTACTTCTGTTTAAATGTCTTGGAAAATCTCTCTAACGGATTTAATTTGTTTCATTGAAACGGTTAAACGTTTAAATTTCCGACCCTTACTGTCATGGAAAAGTTTTCATCCAGACATATCCAAAAAAGCTCACAGTGGGAGACAATAACGTGGATGACGAATGCAAGTGGTCTGTTGTCCACCTAATGTCACTTCTACCCGAAAATGCAGCTGTGCACCTTGTATAGATGGGGGAAATCATGGAATGTAATGGTCGGTGATGGTACATTAGTACCATACAATGGTCAAGTGCTTTGAGGAAAAAAGTAAATTTTAAAAAAGTATTTATGGAAGACTCGTTTTTACGGGATGAATTCACTGGCCAATCCTTATTGTTCAGAACAAGAGAAAAATAAAAGTAGCAAGGAAATAAAATCAGGAGAGTATTCCAAATAAAGTCTCTGAGGAGCTTTCATCCAACCAAAGATTGAAAGCTGACCGATGGTCATGTATTACAATTGTTCCAGTCTACCAGCCAAATATATTAATACTTCCCTCCTTGGCATTTTCTATCCTAACCTGTGGTTTTTATTATTTTTCACTAAAACAACCGCGCAATTATTTTATTCAGAGCACCCAACCCACCAAAAATATAAATTCTTTCCCCCCTTGGCTTTCTCTAAGGTTTTAATTTTTTTCTGCACCACGTCTGTTTTTTATTTGTAGCAGCCAACCTGCCAATAATATTAATTCTTCCTTCCTACGCATTTCTTTTCCATCCAAACCTAGACCATGTGTGGTTTTAAATTTTTAACGGTCCCACTGTATTTTTTTTGGAGTGTCCACCCCAACCCATCAAAATATATAAATTCTTTCCTCCTTGGCATTTTTTCCGATCCAAAACCAAGACGTGGTCTTTATGTGTTTTTCCTGTACCTGTTCAAATTTTTCCTTATTCCGAGCACCCAACCTGTCAAAATATATTATTTCTTTCCTCCTCAATTTTTTTTGCCCAAACCTCGACAAGGAAGGTTTTTTATTAAGAATGTATAAAATGAGGGAAGTCCGTACATGAAAGGGACAGAATGAGCATTTATAAGAGGGAAGAAAAAAATCTTATCACTGTTGACACTCAGCAAAAGCTCAAGAACAACTCGTATGCATGTTCTTTGCATCTTTGTCGTGACCCTGCCGTTCTCGCACGTGCAGGAACGGCCAATTAACGTAACAATACTCTCTGGATCACTCATGCAAGCGAACAGGCAGGAATGCGTTCTGAAGTGCTCTTCGGAATGGGGGTGAACGGGAGGGCATGCAGAATGGAAGGGAACGCGTGCAAACGGTCTCTGTATCTTTGATCCCGTCCCTTAGCAACCAACTGTGTATAACATCCATTTGCCATTAACGACCATTTTCAAATCCCTTCATGTAAAAACCAGCATGTACATACTGTGTCTGATAACCCACTATACGAGACCAATGACTCCCATTTTTGCATCCGTATGGATGCTAAAACTGGTATGTAACGACCAAAGTGACCATTGAAAACCACTTCAGCCACAATAGTTGTTTGATTTTTGAGACGTTTAAAAAGTTAAACGACAGGACCTAAGAGGATTAGAAAATTAATGCCAGGGTCACTTTCAGAATCTTTTCAAGGTTGCAGCAGAAAGCCTGCATTGGCGTCGTCGAGCAGCCAGCCAGTCATCGCGTCTAGACTTCTTCAGAAAGTCTGAACTGAACCCTATTGGGCCAAAAGGGCCACACCAAACCAGACAGCTCTCTTCAGAGCCAACATCAAACACAAATAATGAACCAAATGGCTCTTTTCAGGGCCAACATTATCAGGTCAGGGACCAAACCACAATCTAACGATGTCCCTAGTTTCTGAACACGTAGCTATACCTGTAGTTCAAGCAGCAATGACATCATATTTATCAGATCACGTGATAATAATGTAATTTTCCTGCACGATTTTGGGAAAGTAACGAGATTTGAAATGCTGTCAGCCAACATGGCCGCCGTTACTGTTACCGTTGGAGTTTATGGAAAAATTGTTTCCGATTGCTATTTTGAAAAATCGCCATGGTAAACATAAAATGTGCCACAGTGAATCGATGGAGATTTTGAATGGCAACATTTTCATGCATAAAGTGCACTTCGGCAAAGTTTCGTTTTCTTCGCGTGAACGTTTTCATCAGCAGAGTTGGACTCGCCTGCCTACCGAATCAGATACACCCAGTGCAAGATTCGAGCGAAAAATCTCCTTGATCCGCTTTTAAAGAAATGAAAGGGACGTTTCATCTAGATATTGGGTATCATGTTTCCTGTAAATGTGATCAATCAATGGAATTTGTTTTGAAGTTTTGGGCTGATAAAGATATCGATGTCATCTGCGAACCGTAATCTAAAAATAGTTATCATATTACGTCATTGTTGCACAAACGAATAGCGTATGCTTAGTCTGGCGTCGTTGCTAGATTGTGGTTTGGTCCCCGACCTAATTATATGGCACTGAGTGAGAAATGTATCTGTCGTTGTGCCAGTAATGTGCTGTTTAAAAAATGGGTATTTTCTGTTTCATATCCCGTATTCCGCTTCAGAAATTCAAATTCCGTTTCATATCTTCGTAAGCATGAAAACGGAGAGCAAGTTTTAAATTATGCATGGAAACTGTTTGCCCAACCATACCTCCCCCCCTTAAAAAAAAAAAATTATTTCGGTATACCCTGCAGTGTTTCCAATTTTTAAAAATACTTTTCTGTAGTGATAATAAAAAAAAATCTACACAATAAATACGGCATCCTCATCCCTTGATTTCCCACCGGACCAATCATCAAAACCTTCCTAGATTTATCAACGGACAATTCTGGAGTCACTCCTCATGTATAAAATCAGATTACATTTAAATACATGTACAGCAACAAAATTCAGAAAACTGAAAACTTAGCTCTTCATCGAACACTTCCGAGGGCCCATTCAGCTATGGTACACTAGGTTTCATTTAATTAAGAAATATGTAATTAGTGCCTCATTTGCTGTCGCAGTTTCACACATGCGGATTCACAGACTGAATTCCCCACATGTGCAATATTGTTTGTGCCTTGATTTCAATGCCAGTCAATGTGTGTACCATACCATGCGGTTGCGCTCATGCCAGGTTGGTATGCATTTATTTATGATTCTTTGCTGAAAATTTTCTGTACTTTTGAGGCCATTCCTAGAGGGAAATTTTACAAGTTCTGTTTCAAGCAGTAATTTCCGATTCAAAGTATTGATCTGCAAATTCTGTCCCAAATCCTTGGCTCTACACATGTATAACACACTATATGTAAGTGTTTTAAATAAAAATGACTCAGTCCACACCACCCAGTGTAATAAAAGGCAAATCATTAAAATATACAAAATATAAAGAAGCATTGCATGTATAAATAAATACATAAGCAGTTTCTTATAAGAATGTCACACAAAACCAGATTCACTTTATTTGGAACATAAGAATGCAACGGTTGGTCGCTAAACAAGGCAGGTTTGACTGACATTACTTGTACATGAGCCAAAACCTCTATGAAGAGACCACCTGTCTATAAAGACCTTTTTTTCCCTGTTTCCATTGAGTGGTCTCAGCAGGCAGGTTTGACTGTAATAATAGTACTAGTTATGTTGTACATATGGAACATACATGTACCTAATGTTTGCAGGTTGTTCATCTCCAGCTGTCCATCCACTTTGGAGTCTTGACTGCCTTTGCTTCCTTCATCTCCTGCAATGGCATCTGCCAACATGAGCATCTCTGCTTCTAGTGGATCTGATGGGATCCTCTCACTGATCTCTTGGATTGATGCCAGCAGACGGTCAGCATTGTTATAGGCAACAGGTATGAACATTGGAACAGGTATGGGCACAGGCAAACTCACAGGGTGTGGCACAGGAGTTGTATAAAGGCGCATTGGTACAGGCACAAAGATGGGTACAGGAACTGGTATTATAAGTGGCTGCTGATCATCTGTTGGCATGAACACAATTACCTCCATTTAGTTGTGATGGAAACTTTATATGGTTTATGTTAAGTTACTTGCAAAGAGGCATTGACATGGGGTAATGATGACAGGTTAAACTGTGTTTGATCTACATGTACACAATTTCAGATTTGTGACCAATTACCCCAAATGTTACAACACAAAAATGAAAGAAGCCGTTATTTATACAGGCCTAGCTGAAATACTCGGGTGTCAGTAGATTTTGTCTGTCAGGCAAGAGTGGCCACCAGAGAGTAATTCATGTGGGTGTAAGCGTCCATTAATTTAAATGATGAATTTTTGAAGATTTTTTGTGAACAGCAATTTTCAAACCACACGGCAACATGTGGTTTAGTTAGGCCTCAACACATACAGTCATCAACCAAATGACAAAACCAATACCATGGGAATCCCAGGTGAAATATAATTGTTGTGAACTTATTCCTGCACTCACTGGTGCTACATTATTGATCTGCCATTTCTGAGCTGTACCAGTTTACCACTGAAATGAACAGCCTAGGATTGTGGCTGGCCATTCAGGCGTAATGATCCTGTACAGACAGTACAACTGGAGCAAACACTGAGGATTAAGTGGTGGTATTAATAGCCCCACAATTTAAAGAAACTACTTCCCACAGAATGGTTTTTGCTTTTGTTTTGTTTATTTGTCCCACCCCCCATTCAATATATATATGTTCATTCATATATATATATATATACATATATATATCTGTATCTGATTTTAAGGTTCTGGTCATATTCAATATTATGTTTGAGGTCAGCAAATTTTGATGCAAAATGTCCGAGCTGGTTGGATTAGTATAAACAGTTTATGGTACTTACCGGTCATGGTTGCCTTAGAAGATGTGAGAGGCCTGCAGGACACAGATTTAGTTTGAGTGAATGGTTTGACAAGGGTAACCTTGTTTTTCACCATGGTAGGAGCAGGAGGCACAGGTACAGGAGGGGGCGGAGGACGATGTGCTTTGGGGGCTGCAGTGGTTATCTGTGTTTGTTTATGACATTTTTTAGCCACTATATTTTGGGTAGCACATTTTGGTTGATACTGAATGTTGTTTGGGGAGCCACCTTAAAAGTAAGAGGAAACAAAGAGAAAAAGTTAGTTCGGGCAGTTTACGGAAGCACCATGCAAGGGCATCTCTTTTTGAAGTACAATGTATGTGTGGTTCTGAAAAGAACTGGAAGGTACTCAACATTTTGGACAGCATGTTCCCACTTATGACCAGGTTATGAGAACCAACACATTGCTTTATTCCCCACAGGATCCCATTTTTCCTAATCAAAGAAACTGTCCTCTTAATGCAAGGAAAGCCTTTCAACCCACCACACGTTCCATATTTGTGGGGACTACACATGTGGAAATACAAAGGGGACCCAAATCATTCTGAGGACAATATTTTGTCCCCATAACTATGCCCAACTTTCTTAACAGAAGAAATTGCCCTCTTAATGTAGTAAAGGCCCACCCCTCCAACACACAAGTGTGTAAACACCTTCAACTATGAATCTCTATTGTCCCCTTTTTGTTTCATGTACAACATACAAACACAGAGGGCTGGCAGAGCATTTTTTTCACTCCATTCACATTCAATAGCTTAAGAAAACTGACACCTCAACATATCAAGTTACTAAGCTAAATAAAAAAATAAACTGGTAACTGCTTCTACAAGTAAACTTGAGATATGCCGCACCATATTTCATGAGCTTACTTGTCTGCTGTTGTCCGGGAGCTAGTGAAACAACATTGGTAATGACAGGTGTGGTGGTTTCTGTCAAGTAAATAACATAAAAAGATTTACACTCGAGATGTTGTAACATTTGCATAAACAAAACACTCCCCTCCAGTATTCTGAACACATGAACAAATGGTTTTAATATTTGACAGACAAAAATCAAAGAAGGGCGTCAAAATTGTAAATTGATTACCTTTTTAAAAAACCTATAATGTATTAGTATTACTACAATGAGTACATATGTAAGGCCTGAATAGCTGCTTATTCCAAACATGAGGACCTTATGCCTAACATTTTACTCAAGTATGTGTGAAATTGTCAAAAATGAGTTGTTCAAAATCAGCTGTTTCTTTCAATGGTTACATTTTTTGGCTCTCCTTTAAAGGAACCAGGAAATGAATTTTTCTTAGCATCACTTTTTGTGTATGGCCTTAAACCACAGTAATGTTTGTATCCCCTGAGGGCAGCTTTGCCCAGAAATAGAAGTTTAGGTTTTGGCAGACTTATGCCAAAAACAATATGAAAAAAAAACTACAGGCAGTGGTTGTTACAGCAACAACAACAGAGCTCTTTGGGATTTCGAGTCCTTGAACAGATAACTGTATCAGTGATTATAATCTGTGACGATTTTGTTCTTGGACTCTCTGCAGCAGCTGGACTAAGAGTGTACACCTAAATATATCGTCAGTCACATTGACAAAAGTGCCGAAGACTGGCCGTTGAAAAACATGTACAAAATCTGTGGGGGAAATAAAATATTCAAAAATGAATAAACAAAAACCACAAGAAACGTCATCATGACATCATCATTTGGAATAATTCTTTTATCAGGGTCTTTGTTGGGTGCAACTTTGATGATGATCAAACATCTCAAAGTTATACCAAAATAGTGCTTGAAAACATGTAAAATGTCAATGGGCGATAAACACATATGCAAAATAACTGCTCCTTGAAGTTCATGTCACGATTTGCATCTAAACCCACAAAGTCTTTATGAAATATTACGTGATATTTTGACTCTCGAGTATGTTCCAAATCGAATAACATAGCATAAAACACACAATTTCCATTTCCTTCTGGGAGTAATCTTGAGCAGAGAGAGAAGATTACTCGTTCATCAAGATTGATAATAGTGTGTTGTAGAAAAACGTGTGCAAAACATACATGAAACGACTGCAACTTTAATCTCGTCACTTGGCGCCAAATGGTGTCAACGTCGTGATTTAATTTAGGCAGTATCTTGGGTTGATGGACTACATGTGCTCTCAAAACAATGTCACTCAGATGAATGAGTGCGCCAGTCTTTGACCTTAGAAAACGTGCACAAAACCTATGGAGAAAAACAGCACCTTTAAAGTCATGTCACATGATTTGCGCTTGTATTGAAAACAAATTATGAAATAGTATTTAATATTTGGACTCTTGGGTATATTTGTAATCGAACAGACGAAAAAAACCTCAATTTCTCTCTCGTTCTCACAGTAATTCCCGGCTGAAGTTGAGCGCCTGTATCCTTAAGATTGATAATATTGCGAAATAGAAAGACGTGTACAAAACATATGGAGAAAATTGCAACATTAGTCTTGTGTCACGTGATCCCCTGATATGTCAGCAGGACGATTTTATTTTAACAGCCCCATGAATTCATGGACTACATGTGCTCCCAATACAATGTCACTCAGATATATGAGTGCACCGGTCTTTAACTTAGAAAAATGTGTTCAAAACCTAAGGCGAAAAATTAAATATTCAAAATTCAATAATAAATCATGTGATGGCGTCATCATGACAATTCTTTTCCTAGGCCCTATCTAATTGTTGGGCTAAGAATCTCCACCTAACATCCATCAAGACAGATCGAGAACAATGCAGAAGTCTGCCTGTTGAAAAACATGTACAAAACCTATGGGAAATATAAATATTCAAAATTCAATAATAAATCATGTGATGACATCATCATGACGAATTTTTTAAGGAATTTTTTAAATTTTTTTTACATTTGAACAACTATCACATGAAGTTATTTTTTATATATAACACCCCTTTTATAAGTTATCTACAAAGTTTCAACCTGATAGAGCATGTACTTCAGGAGATATTGGGCGTTGAATAGTGCACCTTTAAAGTCATGTGACTTGTCTTCTGATGACGTCATCATCACATAAGGTCAATTTTCTCTAAAGCACTCTCTATTCAAGATATCTGCAAGATTTGAACCCGATCGGACATCCACTTTGGGATATACAATGCCTGAAACAGTGCACCTTTAATGTCATGTGACTTGTCTTCTGATGACGTCATCATCACATAAGGTCAATTTTCTCTAAAGCACTCTCTATTCAAGATATCTGTAAGATCTGAACCCAATCGGACATGTACTTCAGGAGATACAGGGCCTTAAAGAGTGTATACTCGATTCACATCAGTCTGCAAACCCCGCCTTATTTGCATAACCGTGAATAAGCATTGTCACTCTGAAAAACCAAAATTCTTTGATAATATCTAACATAACGTTCCCTTGCGTTAATTAGAAAAACCTGTGCAAAACCTAAGGGGAAAAATAAAATATTCAAAAATCAAAATAAGAGAAAATGATGACGTCATCATGACATCGTCCCCTTGCAAAAAATCTTGAACCAAGTGTTCGCTATCATTTTGGGAACGATCAAACACTGCAAAGTTATGAAAATTGTGGCTCAAAAACGTGTACAAAGTCAACGGGCTAGAAACACTTGTGCAGGAAAACTGCTCCTTTAATTTTATGTCACATGATTTTTGTCTAAACTGGAAAAAAATCATGAAATATTATTTAATATTTGCACACTTGGGTATATTTGCGATCGAACGGAAGGGAAAATTTAGTTTGATTTCTTTTTGTTCTGTAGTAATTCTCGGTCGAAGTTGAGGACTGCTCATGCATTATGCTGGACAATGTGTGTACAAACCCTATGTTGTGCAACAACGCAAAGTCGATCAGATTTAGTAAACTGCCAAAGCCGACTAGTGGAAGAAAATGTGCACAAACCCTAGTCTGAAAAAGGAGAAAAAAAAAGAAGAAACTAGATAGAAGTGTTTGTAAATAAGTACAAACACAGAGCTGTTTCAGGACTGTTTCACCAACAAAATAAGAATTGGCAATTGTGATAAAAAAACCTGGCATTAAGAAACTATGAAAGAGTAAAAATGAACAATTTAATATTCAGGACGTGACATATACCGTGAAAAAGTTCAATTTATCAATCAATTTCAACCAATGCAATTGGATGTCCACTTCAGAAGACAATCTAATATGACTTGTCACGTGATATTATTCTCACAGTTGAGAGTTTGCTTTGTACTTTGTGGAGCTTCTCACAATAGCTTAAAAATTATAATACTTACTTAAAGGTAACATATACGGCTTCTTCGACTGTTGATGTCATCACGAGTGGATGTGATATCAGTTACAAGAATTGTATTTCTTTAATGTCACGTGACTTGTCACCAGATGAGATCAGAATCAAATCAGATCAATTTGGGTCTAAAACCCTTCCCTTTCCAACCACACACAAAGTTTCAACTGTATCGGACATGTACTTTTCGAGGTATAGTGATTTGAAGAGTTCCCCTTTAATGTCACATGACTTGTCTCCTGATGACGTCATCATCACTAAAATTAATAAGCTCAATATTTGCCTAAAGCACTTCCTCTCCAGGATATAAGCAGGGTTTCAACCCAGCACTAACACCGACAGACTCATTCCGTTGAAAGAAACTTAATGGCTTTTACCACTTTTAAACAATAAGCCTATTTCCGGTTTCAACCGAAAGGGTCATGTTATTTGACCTACATGAGACGAATTCAAGACCACATTTTATCCTGGTACTTGCTGCAAACAGAATGTTGTGGTAGGCCAGGGTTGATTTTATATGGATTTTTATATATTTAACGGAATATTTAAATATTCAAAATTTAATAATAAATCACGTGATGACGTCACCATGACGTAAATATTTTAGAATTATCTTCGTTGCATAGTTAGTGCTTACTGTAAGTATGACGATGATCAACGATTACTAAAGTACAAAAATAGTGCCTCAAAAACGTGTACAAAGCCAATGGGCTGAAATAAATATTGAAAAATCAATAATAAATCACATAATGACGTCATCATGACGTCATAAATTTGGACGTATCTTTGCATCAGGTTCTTTGTTGGCTGTAACTTTGAAGTTGATCAAAGCTCTCAAACTAACCAAAATGCTGGCTTGAAAACGTGTACATAGTCAATGGGCTATAATAAATATTGAAAAATCAAGAGTAAATCACATGATGACGTCATCATGACGTCATTTACTTACAATAATTTTTGTATCAAGGTCTTTGTTGGCTGTCACTTTGAAGTTGATCAAAGCTCTCAAACTAACCAACATGCTGGCTTGAAAACGTGTACAAAGTCAATGGGCTGTAATAAATATTGAAAAATCAAGAGTAAATCACATGATGACGTCATCATGACGTCATTTACTTACAATCACTTTTGTATCAAGGTCTTTGTTGGCTGTCACTTTGATAACGATCCAACATTGGAAAGGTTTCAAAATTTGCCTTGAAAATGTGTAGAAAGTCAATCGGCTGAAAACTTCTCCTTTAAGATGATGTCACGTGATTTGCCTTTAAACTGAGCGAAAATTTTGAAATGTTATTTGATATTGAGACTCTTGGGTATACACGTAATCAAACGAAGGGGAAAAAAATACAATTTTGTTCATTCTTATAGCAATTCTCAGTTGAAGTTCAGGACTACTCTCATTAAGTTCAATAATATTGCATTCCAGAAAAACGTGTACAAACCCCATTGAAAAAACTGCAGCTTTAATCTCATGTCACGTGACCCCCCTCCAACTCTTTTAGGGTTAAACATCTTGCTCAAAGACAACCACAGGTTTTGATATCTATTCATAAATACCTCCGACAGTTTTTCTATCCCTATTGGTCAAAACACTTCATAGTGTTAGTCTGTTGGGGTATTGTACCTTCAAAACATCTACTGATG